GGTGCCATCCACTTAGTAAATCATTTTAGTTCAGCCCACCATTCCTGCTTATGGAATTCTGCTGTAACTTTAATTTACCCAAAAAGTGAAGTGTTAATTATTTAAAGTGTTAATAAAGTGATAATTAAATATTGCAGGATATAACAGATGTTATATAAAAATGTGCTGGCTACCTAACTTGTGACGTTATTATTGGGGGTTGCCTTGACACAAATAATGATACTCTGCTCTGCCCTCTTATTCGAGTAAATTATTCAGTTAGATTGTGATTTCTGTCAGGTGCAAAACAGAAATTGTTGTTCTTTTTCACAACAACCTTGTTGTTGTGCACAAGGACCTATTTCTTAGTTTAAATTTTATTCATAAAAGAGTGTTGGTATTCCCCGCAACAGCCAATCACAGGAAGGTATTTCTGGAAGCTCGGCCTCCTTATGGACTCAGCACATCGCTCTAGCTCATGGCTCTCTGTTTCATCTCTTGTATATACAAACTATGACTTTTTCGATTACTGTTATAATTAATAATATGAAATATATAAGTTTTTACGCAAAATGGCTAAATTCTGCCATTAAATGACTGGTATACATACAAACATACACCAATTTATTACTATTGATCCATTATTAATTTCAAATGTAATGTATACTGTCTAGTTTTTTCTTATCAAGTTCAAGTTCAAGTTCAAGTAAGTTTGCTGAGACATGAAAAAGAAAAAATTTATCTCAAAGGGATAGAGTAGCTTAGGCTACTTCTACCCCCCCCCCCCATAACCTCTCATTACTTGGTGCAATATTTGAAAGTTGTCTATTTATTTATCGATCTATCTATTATCTTGTATTTATATTTACAAGTTTTTGTGCTTGGAAGAAAACTCTGCATTGAATTGGGACTAATTTATTAAATAATTTTAGTCTCCTAAGTCTAGTCTAGTCTAAGTTTAGTCTATTAAATAAGCAGTCTCCGTGGTGTAGTGGTTAGACACTCGCCTGGCGTTCCGCGAGCGCTATGTCATGGGTTCGTATCCTGGCCGGGGAGGATTTACTGGGCGCAATTCCTTAACTGTAGCCTCTGTTTAACGCAACAGTAAAATGTGTACTTGGATGTAAAAACGATTCTTCGCGGCAGGGGATCGTATTCCAGGGACCATAGGATTAAGGACTTGCCCGAAACGCTACGCGTACTAGTGGCTGTACAAGAATGTAACAACTCTTGTATATATCTCAAAAAAATAAATAAATAAAAAAATAAATAAATTTATTTTAATATTTACAATTATTATTAATTACAATTATTTATAGCTTAGTTACTTTCATGTAACTCGCAATCGTACATTCTTAACATTAATAGCCCAAATTAGCACATGTTGCTTTTAAATTAGCCCAAAAAGTAGCAAGTAGCGAAATTAAAAATTTGGGAGCGCGGGGCTCTCAAAAGTAGCCCAATTCGCTATTTGTAGCCCAATCTGGCACCACTGGCTGGAACCCCGAGTTGCCATCTGGTGATGAACCTGAAATTGAAATTGAAATAAATTTATTGATGTAAAATACACACAAAGGGATGAGGTAGCTCAAGCTATTCTCACCCCGTTCAGTACATCGTGTTAATACATACATATACACACATCACAAACAATAAACATATTACCAAACATTCTGAGAGATAAACATCTACATTTCCTCCTTTACACAAGTAGTATGGTATCAGACGTACACACAAATACTTTTATGGACTTATTATAACTATAAGTTGGAACCGGATAGAGTTACCACTGTTTTCTAAGCAGTTTTTTTATATTTTTTGAAGCACTATACCTCTCTGGTGGTTTTCCCCTATTGACCTGGGTTGATCAAATATACCCAGTTACTCCACTCTCTCTGTTGAGGAGGGCCAGTATATAGCCAGCGGTTATGACTCATTACATCACCATTTAGTCCGGGAGACATTTCCCGTCACGCAGGGTGCAGTCGCACCTCCACAGACCTCCAGTATCATCTCTTGATACTGGTAATGGCTCAAAAGGGCCACCACTTACGGGCTATTCATGCCCGTGCCACCTCTTGGGTGGCATAATCTTTATCAATCTTTTATCACTCATTACACACGGGAGACATCTCCCGTCATGCAGGGTGCAGTCGCAACTCCACAGATCTCCAGTATCATCTCTTGATACTGGTAATGGCTCAAAAGGGCCACCACTTACGGGCTATTTAAGCCCGTGCCACCTTTTGGGTGGCTTAATCTTTATCAATCAATCACTCATTACACAGCACCGCTCCTGTGCCAGGTAAGTCCTGTACAAGAATGTAACAACTCTTGTATATATCTAAAAAAAAAAGGTCCACTACGGGCTCACCATAGCCCGTGCTGCTTGGAAGTTGTTCCGAGCAGCTGAATCTATAACAACAACTCATTAGGTCGTTACGGGCTCACCATAGTCCGTGCTACATGGATATTTCGTTCTGAGTAGCTAAATCTAAAACATCGACTCATTAGGGCCTGATGGGGTGGTTTAGGCTGCATAACTCGCCAACCCAGATAGTTTGGTTCTTTATTATGCACCCAATATCCATACTGAGGGCGGTTGTGGATGCATGTTGTTGTTGTTGTTTTTGTATTCAGCTACTGGGAACAAAAAAGTTGCAAGTAGCACAGGCTATGATGACCCCGTAGTGGACTTACTTGCCACAAGAGCCAGGCTGTAACTGTCCCAAACTGCATTGATTGATAAAGATTAAGCCACCCAAAAGGTGGCACGGGCATAAATAGCCCGTAACCCAAACTGCATATAGCCTTGCGGCTATATGCAGTTTCCCTTGATGGGAACACCGGGACACATCACCACACCTGCCCTCTGATGGGCCTCTAAATCAAACATCTATGTCAGAGACGTTTTATTACATTCAACATTGGATTTTTCGTTTGTTTCTCCATAGCTTTTGAATGTCTTTCAACAAAATAGCACTGAAGGAAGATTTACTGTTGGATTCTCCTCTTTTTCTTTGCAGTTATTGTGCCCCCAAGATGGTTTTATTGGTTATTCAAATTCCTGAAACTGTGTCAGCAATTCATTCTCATCCTCTAACATCCTTTTATTTTATACTATATTGTTTCCTGTTTATTCTCCATGGTATTGCTAGGATTATTTACATTTTCATTGCATGCTACCCAGTAAAAAGTAATATAACTCTTTGCCTTCAGTTTCATCATTGTTTTATTCATCACATATTTCGGCAATTTACTGTGGTCATTTGGCCAGCCTCATATCATATGGATTTAGTCTTTGTTCTAGTACCAGTTGCGTAGCCTACATTTGCCGTTCTTTGCCATATCTGCACTTTTAATAGTCTTCATTTGTCAGCTTCTTGTGTTTTGCCCCTTTTTATTGTCAAAATTATCAGTTATGTGTGTTAATTTATCTTTATAATTTCCATGAGCTTGAGATAACGTTTACCTTCCCAGCTGAGAGCTCAGCTGATAAGGTGAGGTTGGATTCTTCCCCCCCTCCCCCTCCCCAAGAGAGAAGGGGAATTTTTAGAGTAAAGTGCCAAACCGTTACGACTATATTGCACTTGGAAGGTATCAGGATAAGGATTTGGGATGGGACGGGGGGAAGAAATGGTGCCTAAACATTCCTCCCAAGAGGTATTTTTTGCTACAATGTACCTATTAATACTCTTACTTTTACTTTATCTGTTAAGTTATGGACCTGGTCAAAATGCTATGCGTCTTGAGCCTTGGCAAGAATGTAAGGACACCAATGTTATGCACTCTCACAACCCATTGTACCTTTTTGCTTGTAAATAAATAGGGAAGGGTTACTGCTCCACAACAGTTGCTTAATTCACAGGTACCTATTTTTCTGTTAGGTGAACAGAGGCATCATGTGTCCAAACCAGGAATCAAGCCCAAATACTTTATTGTGATTTGAGAATGAAGCAAGCTGTACAACGAGATCGTCTTGTTATTACCGATACCTTTGTGATGATTGCTTTAATAAAAGTATGTTTGAACCAAAAATTAAAAGTATGTTTGAACCAAAAATTGTTGTAATTAATTTGATATTTATAATGCAGCCCATCCTCATCAACAGAAGTCAAATGCTCATTAATCCAGCTGCTAAACCACCTGTTTATGAATGAAAAGCAGTTTACACACAACTCACAACTGATGACATTCGAACATTTCTCGAACAGTGTTTTGCTAACGACCTCTGTTCGAATCGCAACTCTCTAAATGCTTCACCCATGTACTTCAAATACAAGTAATCACCATAACTTAAACACCTAATCTAACCTGTTCCTAACCATACCTAGAACATTAATATATAATATTAATTTATATACGAGAAGCTTATTTTTAATGCTTAATACATAAAAAATTATGAATACATCTTGGGAAATGGCTGGCCTGAGGACAGGTTGGTACAATGTCACTTAGTTGTAAGATACCCTTTGGTGTAGTTCAAATGGGTAGCTTCCTAGCTTGACTAGCGAATGAATTTTACTTCTATGCTATTTCTTGATCATTGATGTTAGCAGTTTTCTTGCTCTTTTACTGAACTTGGCTCTCTAAGTTGGCATTCAAGGCTAAATATGCCATACTGTATTATAACTTGATTGTTCTGAATTCATTGATTGGCATCAGCTGTGACAGTGGACAATTTAATTTGCCTTTCAAATAGTAATTTCCTAGTGAAACACACACACACACATCACTATTATTGTTTGGTTGGTGTTCTAACTCAGCTTGGGTACAAATATGATGTCTACCCTTTTTCACTGGTCACACATTCTAATGCATATACCTACTGTATATAATCAGAATAAAGACTAAATACAATTTTACTGGCATTGCTATAAATAATAATGAATACTGTTTTGGTACTTTTAATAAGCTAATTTTTATTCATTGAAGATACAGGAATGAGAGCACATCCGCAATCAGCAGAACACAACACGTCTCAAAAAGTTTAGGTGGTTGATTCAGAAAGAAAGGCTATAATCCTTGCTCTAATTATTTATTTTTATATTAATAAATAATTCTCAAGTTCAATATAAATTATCTACCTCATATTCAATCATTAGATCTATTTTTACACAGTATAAAGCCTCCAGTATAAAATTGAGGACATTACATAATTTTAAAATTTAGATTCTCCACACGAGTAATGTGGGTACAATACAATCACACACACTGTGGACATGCAGAGGGGTACTTTCACAAGTGTGCCATTCTTACAGTAAAAGAAATAAAATTGCAAAGGAGAGCATGCAGTTAGTAGAGAGATAATACTGTACATGAATTCAAGTTAATGTATTTGGTGATTTGTAACAGTGTCATTAATCTGGAGAAACTGCAGTAAGCATTTGATCTGTTCTTTTGTTTGGACTTCAATAATATAGGTACTCCATATGTTAATGAAATTTACTAGATACACCCAGGAATTTGAGGAATTTGAGATGTAATATCTGGTCAAGAACAGCAGCATTTTCATCTGAGAGGTGAAAGTAAAAATATTCAGTTCACATTACAAGTGTCAATATTAGATCAAACAAAGGTTTGTCTTGGAAAAGAGGATTGTTTGTTTTTGTATTTGCCAGTAGTAGGCATCCATCAGTCTCAGGAGACTATGGAGTTGCGCTCTGGTGTCGGCCTGGTCTGGAGTGGCCTCACCAGGGCGCAAAGCCAGGGTAGGTTGATTCGGGGAAGAAGCTGCTACACAGGTAGCAGGTCCCCCCTCTCCACGGCGCTGAAAGTCTCCAATGGAAAGGCATACGCCAATACGATTGGTTCCAGCGTATATAGATTATGTATACGGCTCAGCAGCTGAAGAGGAGGCTACGAGCAAGAAAGAATAAAGAGGAGTTGATAGCTCCAGATGCAGGAATGTGTATAAGAATTAGTTGGTCAGTGTGTGCTGGAGAATTTTTTGATTTTACCAAGCTTTTGTAAGGAAGTCAGTCATGTTTGACACCTTCCTTTCCTCAAGACACACAGGTTCAGTCCAGATTTTCCACCTGCAACACATACTTAAAAAATGTTAGTTAACTGTATCTCTAAATACATGTTCCAGTATAGGTGACAACACCTGATTGGCTAACATTCCATACAATTTAATGCACGACCTAAATTAAGAATTTCAGCAACACTATTTATATTATTTATATTATATACACTGTATTTAATTGTGAAATTTTTTTGTCATCATTTAATAGATCTGTGATGGCAGACCAATGGATGTTCAAAAGCCAAAAGGCCAAAAGAGAGGCCAGGAAATCAACGAAAAGGAGAATAGGATGTGGGGGATGTTAAACCCAGGGCTCATAGTCCTGGTAACCAGATCTGAAGACCCTAGAGGATCTTGAGATCTCGAGGTTTACAGGAAAAATGATGCCACAGAAGATAGCTTAGAGTATCCAGGAAGCCAAGCCAAACTGAAATTGAGCCAAGAATGACGAAGGCACAAGGGAAGGAAAGCCTTGTGACTAGGGAAAAAACCACCAAGACATCACCCAAAAGCAGCCAGGTATACTGCTTGGAAATGGGAAGGCAAACCACCTGGGAACAGTCAGGCATACCCACACTGCCCAGAAACGACCAAATGCAGTTCCTTTACATAGTGTTCTGGTGAACGTTTGTTATAGTCACTTCCAGATCATATTCTTTATTATCTTGTCTCAAAACCTGTATCAGTGTTCTCAAAGAGGTCTATTCTTATTTTCTCCCTAGCACCATAATTTGACCATTCCCTGCACTGGAATTTAAACATCTTCCCAAATATGATGTTATATAATTAACATTATATATACTGTACCATTATATAATATTGCAAGATAGCACCATAGTTTAAAATCTTTGTTGTTCTTTGGTTCATTATTTTGTATTTACAAGGAAATATGCTTATATAAACTAATGTTATATTTGGAACATCAAAACCTAAATGGAGTTAAGAAAGATCTCTGCAAGAGCAAATTTCAGTTGCTCATGTGTGTGTATAAATATATAAAAATCAACTGGTCATTATTAATGATACCTATTCTGCATATTGTTAAAAATCTTTGTATTACAAAAATATATAAAAATAGAAAATTGAGCATAATAAATTGCTCCTTTTCCAAGTCATGACTCTCGGACACTTCCATAGCCAGCCTCACTATATGATCCACCTAGGACTATCACCTGCTCTTACATTTTTCTCATGACAAGAGGTCTTTGCAGTAGTTCTGCTATGCTTCTAGAGAAGGAAGACAAGTGGCAAGTCAGTATTTGTCACCAAGATTACTAGCACACTCTGATACAAAGGAACTCATCAACACTTAAATTTGGCCCTTCATTGCAATAAGTAGAAATACCAGACTGCCTAGAGTATCCTTTTGTAAACTGTTAGATTACCTGTAATCGATTTCTATCATGTCCGGGCCTGGGGTTAGCCTTCCTTGGTGATTGTCTGGTCTACGAGGCTATCTTAGTAATCTGCAGGCTCACATATCCATCACAGCTAGCCTGATCTGATTACTCTATTAGGAATTTGTCCAGTTGTCCAGTCCTCTCTTGCAAGCTCCTGATGTTGTTCCAGTAATATTTCTTATATTTGTTGGCAGGAGGTTGAAAAGTCTTGGACCTCTGATGTTTACCATGTGTTCTCTGATCATGCCTATGACACCCAAACTTTACATTGGAATTATTTAACACTTCCTATTATACCTCTCACTGCAGTATATTGTAATTTCATTGTGCAGGTTTGGATCCTGACCCTTTAGTATTTTCTATTTGTACATTATAAAAATCTCTCTCTCTCTCTCTCTCTCTCTCTCTCTCTCTCTCATTCCAAGGAATTCCATTTTAATGCTTCCATGGAGTCTCAGTAATAAATCTGTCATTAATTCTATTCAGACAGTAAAGGATCTCTATACTTTTAAGACATGCCAGCTATTCTAGTCCAGCAGGACTAGAATAGCTGGTGGCCTTCAAACTTCAAATACAGTGCTTGCAGTGCAAATTTGAGGTTTATTTAATTACTTTGTATCTTGACAAGCTAATATCCTTGGTGGTGGCTTGAATTATAATCATTGGTCTCTATTCCCAATATATGTGAACCTTACACTTGCCAAGATTACTGCCATTAGATTACTAGCAGGCCTGCATGTGAAGAAAATCCTGGGTGGAACTCAAGAGGAGCCCCAACTAGGCAACTATTTTGTGCCAGAGTTTCTTTTAGCATCTGAAGACAGGTTACCATATGCAGACGAGGAGTCACAATAACGTGGCTGAAATATATTGACCAAACCACACTCTAGAAAGTGAAGGGACGACGATGTTTCGGTCCGTTCTGGACCATTTTCAAGTCCATTCTCATACAATCGACTTGAGAATGGTCCAGGATGGACCGAAACGTTGTTGTCCCTTCACTTTCTAGTGTGGTTTGGTCAACAGGTTACCACACTTAATACTGTAGTCTATTACGAAAGTAATTTTCTTACTACTGTATCATGTTTGATTTCTTTATAAAAGATGCTAAAGTTCCCTATTAGTAAATGATTTGCAGATGCTAAGTACTGTAAGAACTTGTCTTTGAATAATAAGGGTGATGCACAGGGAAAACCAATTTGGTCGTAATTGATGATAGTGGCCGCAGCATGTCCTACACACCTACACATGATGAGGTGTACATCTTAGTGTCAAGGAATAACTCAAGAAAAACTTACATTTCAATAACTTGCCCGTTGAACACAATCTGCCACCTGATTTACATCCAAGCCACCTATCCCTATTTTGCTCAGTTAAATGCCTCTACTAGCCATGTTTCTTTTCCTGTTCCAAACAGGAACATGCATCATTAGGTAATTACAGTTATCTAATTTCCTGTACAACAACTAAATTTATGGAAGAATTTGATATATGACCATGCTTCATACTGTTAAATACTGTTAACAGTATGTTAACATACTTAACATACATGTTAATACTGTTAAATAAAACTTGAGATTTATTCTAAAAATTATTGCATGTAAAATTAAAACAATTTTGTTGAACAATTTGGAAGACCTTGAGTTACTGACCAGTGGTTGTATATACAGGCAGGACTAGTATATAGTCCTGCCTGCATATTATATATATATATATTTAATCTAAACTCTTTAACAAAACTTAACAACTGCAAAGCCCTTAGAAGACATAAAATGTAACAAACCTCAATCAGATGTACACAACAGATTCTACTAATCCTATACAATAAATATATCAAAATAAACAAAATTATATCATTTCCCTAAGAATTAGCACATGCTTCGAAGAACTGCAAGTATTAAACCATTGCAAGACATAAATTCTAAAGGTCCTTTTTGAGGTTTGATTCAGTCCTGATTAAGGCACACAGGTGAGATGTCATGAAGGACAAGCCTCCGGAGATGATGATGATGCTGCTGCTGATGATGATGATGATGCGTCCTCAACAGCGTACTACATACATGACGTTAAGCTTGTCCTTTTGTCCTCGATGGCATACTAAACATGATGTTACACTTGTGATTCTGAAAGCAATTCTCAAATCAACCAACAACAATTTGTGAACGTGTATTTATAACATTACAATTTCTATATTCCAGAAAAATATGCATTATAATGAGAATATTTAATAAAAAGTTTAAAGTTGTTCAATATGCACAAAGTAACAATAGAAATGTCATATACCATAAATGTTGCAGTTGAATATTTACCTGTTTATAAAACCTTGTTCAGACCTACGATGACTAACGATCCGAGCAGTGAGCATCTGCGTCAAAATATGCAAAGGTATGAAATGCTACAATTCTGAGTTTATACTCATACATAAGCACTAATATTTACATACAAATACTAACCTTTAATGCCATCTTCTACTTTGCACTTGTTAGCTTTGCCTTATCTTTTTTTTTTTTACTTTAAATGTTGTTTAAATACAACATTAAAGATTACAATTAAAGCAACAGATTCCATTAAAAGAAAAATTTAGTTTCATGTCTTTGCACCTTTTCCAGTTTAATGATTTGCTTCTAGAGATATGGGCACCGTACAACTGCTGCATTTAGCAATTTCATGAAAATCGTGAACAATTTCTTTAATATTTTGCCATCCATTAATATGGTAATACTATAAATTCACTAAAGCACAGGAATTTTGCCAATGTGGTCATAACACAAAATGCAGCACATTAAGTGAGGACAGTTTGGAAAAATACCAATGGACAACTGAAGATTGTAATATTAAAAAAGCTTATCTGCCACAAATTAGGAGATGACAAAATTTTCAACCTCACTCACCACTTTAACTGTACATCTTTTCTTTTATTTATTTAAGTTTTGGAATGCATGCAGCAATAGGTTAAATGTTAGTAATTTAAAGGAACAATTGTGTAGTAGCAAACATGCAGTAAAATTTACTTAGTATTAATTAGCTTCACAAATATCTATGAGAACTTTTCAGTTAAATAAAATGAATACAGTACTGGACAGTATAATGATCATGCCAAGAACTGAACATTAGGTAGCATTATAGCAGATGCAGCAAGAAGGCTCATAATTTAACTATAAATCACGGCAAAGTTAGAGACTTGGGCCATTTTACCAGAACCAATACCATAAAATGCATCTTATAAATGTTGAGATATTGCAAATGGTTAAGGGCGGGAGGGTTAGGAACAAATATACAATGGCCTTCTCAACTAAATGCATTTGTTGAGGCACACTACATCTAGCTTTAAAGATATTGGCACATAGTGGCATAAGATTTTTAAAGCCTTTATTTTAACTGATGTTACAAGCATGCACTTTTTACACTAAAGCCCCTTTGACCATGATCAGTATAATGATCAAACAATAGACACTATTTATAATTAACAATTCCAATATTTACCTGCATAATCTGTGAAATGTCGCGGTTGTGGTTCCACATCTGCTGGATACACTACAAGAAGAAACACAGCATTAAATATTTAGTAATTTTCAATGTGCAGGTTGGGTTCTTCTCCATGACAATACCATCATGGAAGAAATTACCATTGCTATTCTTAACATTCAAGACTTTTCCCCTTGAGATGCCTACAGCATAACCCCTTGATAATTTGATATACTACACCTCTCCAAGGTTTACAATGTCCTCCTATCATTTGCATTTCTCAACCATTTGGTTTCTTCCATATGGTTGAGACATTGGCACATGGTGGATGGTTCAGCTCTCAACCATCTGGATTGTTCTTTCATTAAGTTAATTTCAGTGAATTTCCTCTTTGGGCATATTAATAATACTCTTTACATATAATTAACTGTAGTGAAGGAATGGCAAACAGTTCTATACTAAGCTGCACAAAAAGTATCATTTTCTTTGTTTAATCAAGTCATATCAGGTCTGATGTTCACACCTACATTTGAAGAAATAATTCACAGACAGATAACCATTATTATTAGACCATTTTCCACTTTTATGGGGTAGGGAGGCATCATGCCAGAAAAAAAGAGCAAGTATTACTGCAGTGAAAGATTGGTTATAGCTTTTAAATTTTAAAAATATAAATAAATATCACTTGTCCATCCTTATATATTTCACAACTACAACACTGGATAAAAACACAATTATACTCGAGCAATCATTTACAGAAACAACTCATTGCTTTCTAAGTAACAATTTTATAATATTGTAAGTAACAACTGTTTGATTAACTAGGTACAATCACACTTTCTTATTTCACTTTTTTAAGTGTTGTCTTACCTGCATGCCTAAATATATTTAGACAATATTCTTCACTAAAATTATTCAATAATATTCATGAACTGACATTACTTACATAGACTAACTTGGCCCAATACAAAAAACTGGTTTTGTTGTGGAAGCTCCAACTTGGCAATATCCTTCAGAAGATGCAGCTTTGAGAAGAAATAACCCCTTAAAACATGTTTTACTTATTTATAACCCCTCTACTTAGTTATGCTACTCAAGTATTTGACAATGTCACAGAAACACTTGCATAAAGTTGACCAGACTACACACTAGAAGGTGAAGGGACGACTATGTTTCGGTCCGTCCTGGACCATTCTCAAGTCCATTCTCAAGTCAATCGACTTGAGAATGGTCCAGGACGGACCAAAACGTCGTCATCCCTTCACCTTCTAGTGTGTGGTCTAGTCAACTTACTTTAGCCACGTTATTGTGACTCATCGCCTGCACTTGCAAAAAGTGTAATTGTAAATAATCAAAATCTTTCAATACTACTTCATGTTAAGTTCTTTGAAGACCTAGCTTGCTCACAGCTAAGGAGTACAACAGTGAAACCCAAGAGTGCCATTACAGATGAAGCACAACAGTGTAAGCAGGTCTTCACACACAAGACCTGATGCACCATATTGTTCCATAAGATATCAATCACCCAGGGCTTCTACATGACTGCTATACAGTACTTCTGAAGGACTATAAAATGAACGCTGGTTAACCGACTGCTAAGTGGGCTCACGAATGGTCTCTTGTTCAATTTCCAGGCAGAGCAAGATGTTTAGCTATGTTTCCTTACACTTTATGCTTATGTTCACCTAGCAGCAAATACTGCTAAGTACTCCATGAGTTAGGCAACTATTGAGGTTTGAATGTTGGGGAAGGTCAGTAATTGGTCTAGGGGGGGGGGGGGACCTCGACAAGTCTAATTACGGACTTTCTCATCCCAACAACAGGAATTATTATACCAAACTTCCTATTAAGATGTTATTCTACAGAAAAAAGTAGAGGGGAAACTAGCTCCATTCACAAGCAAGTGCATAGGTTATAGACTCAAATCTTTGTATTACCCCTATAGATAAACATTTTTCTATTATTCAGATACCCAAGATGAATTCAGAACTGCAAATAATCACGTGAGAGCATAATTCTAACCTTTGTTATCTTTAAACACAAATGATGCTCGTTGTGTGAGGTCTCCAGGTGATGTGGGAGATGATGGTGGTGGGGAGGCAGCTCTGATGTGGCCAGGACTTGCTGGCCTATATTCACCTATTGGTCAAATGAAATCATTAAAATAAAAAGTGTGCTTTTCATAAATTTACTTTTTCCAGTTGCACATCTACTAGTGTCTTTCCATTGGACTTTTTAGATATGCTATAGAAATAAACGAAATACACATGGATACACACACACACACACGTAATTACATATTATTACCCTGCTTTACACTTTCATGCAGTGGGAAGGCATCAACCTGGAGAAAAAAGTTTAGATATAGAAAAAGGTTATTGATATTAAATCATAAATGTTTACAAATATCACTCACCCACACATTATATCATCTACACTATGTAGTATCCCTGATAAACAAGCACCTACAACAATCATACGCAACAATACTGCACCGCTTTCATAAAGCAAGGTGAATAGTGCTCATAAATTGTATTTCAGGAGTGAGAAGAGGAGTGGAGAGAGTTTGAAAACATAGCAGATAAAATAAAGACCCAACCTAAACTTCTCCTCAGCCACATCTAGAGAAAAATAAGTGCTTGAGAACAAGTGATGAAGCTGGAATATGATATTGGCTCTTTCATAGCTCATAGAAACACTAATTATCAATTCCAGATAAATATTAGCTCTCTACTGAGGAAAAACTAGCCTCTAAGATGGTATACTCGGTGACTGGCATAACTTAAATACACAAAACAAGAAAGCATGTCATACCTTTACGAACTTTCTCGGTAAGCTGAAGCAGGAAAGCTCTGTCGCGTACCTCCAGCTCCAGCTGCTGCTGCAACACCTTAATCATCTCGGCCCGTCCCTCAGCCAAGGACTTGGCACAGTACACAAGTATCCTGCAAGAGGTATAGTTTTTTTTCTTTAAAATGATTGTCAAAACTTGAGACTTATGCTGTTTTTTCTCCTTTCATATATTGTATTAAATTTGGTTAGAAGTTAAGTGATTATTCAAATATCTAGCATTAAACTCAAAATACAGAGCAATAAGATACAGTGTTTCAAGCACTCCAGTTTTAAAAGTGTACTATTAAAAATAAATGCAACATAGTGCTACAAATACTCCAGTTAAAGAAATCTTCTAAAAGCAAACTTTTCAAAGCAAACTGATCAATCATTGTTACAAAAAAACATTGTGTCAGAAACCTGCTGAGAACACACCAAACAGGGTTTGCTTTCTGCCCCTCACACTACAGTAAAAACATTTTATTTATTTATATATTTAGTACAAAGAGCTAGTCTTGTAAAAATACCTATATGTAAAGATAATACAGCAGTATACACATCATTATTCTGGAAAGTTTTACAAAATAACACAAGATTTTTTCATACTGAAACTTACGCCAGAAAACCAAGAATTCCTGTCACAACTCCGGGTTTCAGAAACCAAGAGAATATTTTCAGGATAATTTCTGGATTTTTGTCTGTCATTTCCCACACAAAATCTATATAGTGATGATAGCCTTGATATGGACCACAAGATGGAGAGGCATTACCTCTGAAACAAAGAGGGCACAATAATAAAGCAAAATTTAAAGGTAATTTAATTTTGAGGAGAAAGTGCTAAGCCAGTACAACCATATAGCACATGGATGGGAAACAAAAAGAAGGATCTGGGGATATGAGGACAAGGAGCTAGGATATGAGGAAAGAGGAAAGAATGGTGCCCAACCCCTTGGACCATCAGCAATTGAATGCCATCCTGAAAGTGGCTGAGCATGAACATGTACTTGACCTGTATGTGTCTTGTCTTATACGAGCAGTAGGCTGAAATGCACCAAACTTGTCTTCAGCACCTATGATTACTGTGGGGGCATATTCTTAACAGTATTTGTTATCATTCAGAGATTGTTTTATTTATATACAAGAAGGTACAATGGATCATGTTATTGCAGGTTTTGATGATTTATTGGTACAGTGTCACAATGACACCAACACGAACCATTTCAGGCTTCTGCTGCAACATTTGCTGTATGCACTTTCTTGCATATATTTGCACAATCATCATATGGTATAGTACTGAGAATTTACCACAACTTTCAAAATACCTCTCAATATGTTTGAGTGAATTCATCAGCAAAAGAAACATTTTAAGCACAAGTGGTAGGTAATTACTGTCCTGATAGCTTAAGTGAAATTTAGCAGTAACAATGTAGCCAGTTTCCTACACCTTTCAATATCACATAAACCTTAAGTTATTTGGCAGCCAAGTGACAACTATACACAGTATATATATAGTTACCAGCAACTATATACTGTATATAGTTACTGGCTACAATATACTATATTTCCCCCAAAAAATAATATTCAAAGATCCCTAGAAAGTATTTTTAAAATTTGAAGTTGGTTGAAAATATTGAAGATGATTTAGCATGAGACCACAGTAGCAAATTTCGTATTAAGAGGGCACTCCAACAAAGTATTTGGCTCCAGAGCAAATGCCAATATAAAACTCTCTAAACATCTAATTATTTTCCAGTGCAAAATAAAATAAACTAAGTGCACATGTTAATAATAAATAATTAATACAATCAGAAACATTAAATTTTTTGTGGACATTATAATTTTACTGATACTATGCTGAGGTGTGAACAATTTCTGAGGGCGCAACTTTACAATTAGTGAAACAGCCATAACTAGGGGGTTTACTCACACACCTGTTTCACAGAGCAGTTCTTGACCAGTAACCAAAATGGAAATATCATTTGACCACATTACAGGAAAAAACAATCAAAATGTGTGCAGTGCTAAATGAAACTAGAGAAAGTCTTTCATGTCCTACTATAAAGATAGTGATTTATAGTTTTAGCCAAAATCACTCTGTACATGTAATTGCAGCTTTTTTTCAAGCTATACATACACAAATATGCTGATTGATAATTACCTGAAAAATATAAACCCATATCCAAGAACAGAGAGGATGAGAGACACCAGAGTCAGAGCAAAGAATAGTGTCTCGGTTTGAGCTGCTCGCCATGGACGCTCGTCTGGCTGCAAAAACTTCAATGCGCTGAACTGGAAGATAAAAGAAAAGATATGTTATACAATTAAGATTCTTATTAACCAATTTATATAAGCTTTTAAGCCAGGCCAACTAGCTTAACTACCATCATCATCAGTCTCCTCCAATCGTCAGCAGTCAGACCAGGCAACATTCCAGACTCTTCCCTCAATCATTAGCGACCATCTCAGCCTATCTCCACCACCATCAGTCGCCTCCCTATATTTTCTGATGCCAGCCCTGTTGTGCAACAAGGGGAGATAGACGAGAGTTGATACTTTGAGTAGATACATACTTTGTGAGTACAGATGAGTATTGGTAAGTGTGTGTGTGTATATGGAAGCAGAGCAGAGCACTACATGACTCAGGAATGTAGTGCAGGCCACCTGGTCTATGTCAAGCTGTGTCAAGTAGTTCTCACAAGATCATTGTTACTAGTGCACCTGCACGGTTCTGAAAAAGTCCTTTTTGGGTGTCCTAGAAAGTGTTATGACCTTAAGCCTAGCTGGGGTACTCTAAAGCCTTAGGATTTGGCTAGTTGAGCAATCGAGCCTGGAGACAGAGAGAGAGAGAACCAACAACAAACAGTGACCGAGGTAGCCGGCCTCAACTATACCCCCGGCGGATCTTGTCCAACTCGACATCACCCACTTTTGGGTGAATGCCATCTATATCTGAGGTGAGAGTTTTCAGTTATGCCTGTCATGACCATAGTGTGTTAGTGGAATAAAATACAGTATAGTCTATACTTCGAGCTACATATGGCAGAACATGTGTGAGTGGTTGTCCACCTTTCGATGCTTCTTTGATTTTTAATGTTGGTTGATTAAATTCATCAAAATGATTAAGTTCAATTGTTTCATTATTAACTCAAAGTGGTTTAATCAATAATGTACAGTGTTAAATTAATTCACGGAGTTTATTATTTACTGTACTTTAATGATTTTCCAGTAACCGAGTCACAGACTCTGATCGTAATGAGTTCCGAGAGAGAGAGAGTAAATTTTACTGAACGGTGTATCCTGTCCACTGTTCTTTTACGTTTTCATTCATTCAGACAGGATGTTGGCAGCACCTTTAGCATCTCTCCCTCTTTTCTTCAATCTTTTGTCTGAAATGCTATGCATGCTAGTGGCTTTACAAGAATGTAAATTCAACTTAATTTCTACATTCTCTGTTAACCCCCCAATGTACCTTTTTGTATATAAATAAATAAATAAATAAATAAATAAGTACAATAAATCTTGTCGCATGATCTTTTTTTTCATCAGTTTCTCCCACATCATCCCATTTTCTATTTATTCTCTCTACTTCTCTCCCACCTCCTTGTGCCTTCAGTTACCCTTCCATCCTCCATTTTCTATCTCCCTCATCTCTCCTCTCTACGATAGTCATTATAATTTCACCTCCCCTCCCCAGTGACATGCCAGTCAGCCTATCACCACCCGTATCTTCTTATCTATCAATGGCATAACCGTTATATTGTGCAGTTTTTATATTCATAAACTCTCTACAAAATTTCCTTTCCATTTAAATTTATGATCATATAGCTTGGATAAGTTGATGTAGTAGTAGTAGTATAAATAATGTGGCAGAAAGCTCACTGGAGCGACTGAGGGAGGAGCAGGGAGTAGATCACTGGTGCGTGAGTTGGGGAGCAGCAGGGAAAGATGGGACAGATCACTGATGATGTATGGAGGAGGAAGGATCAGGCAGAACATAATACAGAACAAGACTGGTAAGGCAAAAACCTGGATGTATTTGCTGCCAGAATTGGTTTGAAAATGATTGTCAAGGGCAGAGTTTGAACTAAACTACACTACTGTAAATGAAGTGCTCATCAAAACTTTGTGGGGTATGCAATAATTGTATTATTCTCTACAACACTTACCTTTTGAATATAGAACATGACAGTAATCTTGAGGAGGACAATGAGGGGTGTCAGCGGACAAAAGAAGAGCCCGGCCCACAACAGTGTCTGGTTGTAAATGAGGTGCAGTGTGTTACGACTAATATCAAACTCGAGAAGATATTGATGAATCTTTCCCTTCCTGTGCCAAAATAAATAAAATATAAAATTAAACTTAAAATTTTATTTAAAGTAAATTTAAACTAAATTTAAACAAAATTTTAAAAACAAAATTAAATTTAAATTTAATTTAATTAAAATAAAAATATTTATTGTAATTAAAATTTAAGTCAAATAAAGTCAAATTAAAATTAATCTGAGTGAATATAAAAAGCTATTTTCTGAGCAGGACACTTTGATGTTACTTAAGATACCGAACAAAATCTCGGTCCAGCCAAGAGTGACTAAATACAGTTCACTCAAACATCTTTCCAATCCCTGCTTGGCATCAAAAGGACTGAAGAATAGCACTGGCAAACAACCAGTTGCCTATATGGTCACCACCCTTGATCATCACCAGATGGCAGCACCAATGCCAACTTCAGCTTGCCCATCACACAGAGCTAACCGAATGTACCCACAGGCCAGGTTCTGGAGTGAAGCACAGAGGAGTAGCCAACCCACAGCTGAGGAACAAACAAAGCCAGAACAGAGAGGAAACTTTGCAACACTGGCAGGGTACATCGACAGCTACAATATAAATTTCCAAATACAAAAACATGAAGTATTCAAAATAACAAAATGTACTGCTATAACAGATACAAAATACAATATCTCATTACACAGTAAAACTAATGTTTCTACTGGTGGAAACACATCACTAAACCTGGATTCAGTCTTGAGCATTCTCAACCATTATAGAAATTAACTAAAAACAATGTGATTAGACTCCAGGCAGGGACAGGGTGTTGGTAACAGTATGTACTGTTATTTGGTGGTAGTCACAGCAAGTGGCTAGATGGGCAAACTAGTGGTTTGACGGAGCACTACTTGGCAGGCCTTGTGATGAAATAAAGGTGTTGAAATGACCGAGTGTTTATGACTGAGCTTTCTGATGTCACTCTGAACCAACTTGAGCTTTCTTTCCAAGGCTTCCATAGTACCAGCATGACCCGACAGGAACTCTTTAGAATATACCTCTTAGGATGGACTCAAATATCCCCGTCTTATTATGATCTGATCATTTGGGACCAAATAGATCTTGTCATAGGGAGAATCAAAGAGGAACAGCTAAGAAATTAAAGTAAATACAGTACTGACTATTTAAAAATTATTCAAAGCAAATATCCTTATTTGACAACTTTCCCCTTTCAATAAAACTCCCCAGACTATGTTGACCAAACCACACTCTAGAAAGTGAAGGGACGACGACGTTTCAGTCCGTCTTGGACCATTCTCAAGTCGATTGACTTGAGAATAGTCCAGGACGGACTGAAATGTTGTCGTCCTTTCACTTTCTAGTGTGTGGTTTGGTCAACATATTTCAGCCAAGTTATTGTGACTCCTTGTCTCCCCAAACTATCTAACACCACCTTTGCTGAAGCAGTCTTATTTTAAGATGAGGACTGCTTCTTTAAATATTGTTTGTGTTCTGAAGGTGCATGCAAAGCTCCTCAGGAAAATACGGTACAACAAAACAAAGAATACATTACGTTGTTTTCTTTCGAGTGGCCATGAAGTAAATGAGAGTTGTAAAGTTCATGATGACGACAACAAAAAAGTCGATGATCAGCAAGCGATAAAACTCCTCTCCTAAGGATGTTTCCCAACAGTAATCATTTACCTGAAATTCAAGTTAATTAAATAAGGATTGGTTTTGGAAGATGTACCATATAAAACAGATTACAGTATTGGTATTAACTGACCAATTTACCATACGAGGCACTTAACAGTGTGGGGTGGGGAGTGTATCAAGACACCTATTGCCACAAACAAAAATCTTACAATACTATTATAAGCCTCTGTGAGGTGAAGCCTGTGGACGCACTCCAGCAGATTTCCTTAGAAATAAGCTACACGTACTGTACAGTATTTGTTGGCAAACAAGACGTCCATAATTTACAAGGATGTTTTGTGGATTTTTTATAGTATGCTTGTTTCATCACCCATTTATTCGTAGTAATTTTTAAGTGGTTCTGTAGGGTATAGGGGGTTCATTCTTGACGCACAATCAGGAATCCTAAGTGCAAATCCTGGTCGGGACAGAAATGATTGAGTATGTTTCTTATCACCTAATGCCTCTGTTCATCTAGCATTAAATAGGTACCTATAAGTTAGCTTCCTGTGGGGTTGCATCCTAGACGGTCAGTAATTTGACCTTGGGAGGGGAAGGGGGAGCTTGATATAAGCCTAATATACTATATATTTACTCAGAATGACTGTCCAACAAAATTATTTAATTATTATTATGTAAATACAATACTGTATATATATATTCGCTTCATGGTGGACCAAAAACATGTATCCTATCTGCTGGCAAATAGGGTAAGTATAATTGACAAAATCAAGTTCCCTTAAAGCATTTGCAAAGTTTAACATATAATAATAATTCTTTACATTGCACCATTTTAGAATTCTGCATAAGTGAGAAATGCACGAACTGAAAATCAAAAAATTAAAAGCAAAATTTTAGCAAGAAGATATCACAAATTTGTTGATACCATACACCACAAGAGAAACTAGATGATGTAATCAGTTTCACCAAGTATACTGAACAGATGACTGGTGTTCGTTAATGAAAAAGGATGTTAGTGAGAGACCAGATCTTATGTCATCTTCTGAGATCACCTCTTCTGCAGCCATTAGGTTAACTTCTGAAAAGCCAGCCATTAGCACTAATTTGGCATTACTGGAGACCATTAAGTTATAAGGCTAGCACCAAAACTAAAAAAAAATCAACTGACTTGTGGGCTCTCAGACACCATTTTCAAAGCTTCATTGCCCTTAGGTTTATTTCTATAACCTGTAACAGGACTGTGTGTGGTGACATTTGTGGGGGGAGTAGGACTGAGGTCCACAGCTTGCATGTACCAGAACCCCACCAGCACCCCCAGAACCGTCAGTTCCAGTAGTATGGTCCTGTAAAATAAATAAATTACAAATAACTACTCAGATTTTTCAGCCATAAATTTTTTGTTAAAAGTGATACTGTACAAAACATTTCAGTGTTATAATTCACATGCATGGCATGCATAAAGGCCTTACTTAAGGCATTTTTGAGGATATACTTATGAAGTACATTTATTTGGCAATAGGGGAAACAACCTGTTGCAATGCCAAAATATGTACAGTAACTGCTTGGATACACCAGCTACAATTCTATCATTTTGAGTGTCTGTCTTTAGCAAATTTTACTTCTATAAACCCATAATACTTAAATTTTGTGAAAGGTCTCTTATCTCCCACAGCTCATTTAATTTCCAGTGTCAACCATCACTCAAAAATTCAGCCTTCATTTTTCTTGCCATATGCATAGACATCTACAGTCACATCTACAGTTAATCCATAAAAATTTATTACCTTATAAAACCATTACCAATTCAATCCATTTTCTTAATGAAAACTTTCTTCCCCAACTAATTTCAACTGTAATACTTATCAGAGCTAAACATATTACTCTACCTGATGAGGGTGACATATAGTCTATGGCGAGGAGTTGTGTAGCCTTCTAGCTTGACTATGACACCAAATAGAGCTGGTACAATGATTATGATGCAGGTGACGATCAAAGGATAAACTAGTAGTCCAAATCCACTACTGTCCTGTAAGACAAAATCAACATCAGTATATATCAAAATGATCCTCACAATTATACGTGTAATGAACTACTAAAATAATACAATGAATGCCTGAAAACTTAAATTCCACTCGGTGCACGAGTGACATTTTATTTGACTTGTAGGGAGGTGGAATCCTCATCTAAAGAGACAAGAGGCTGACAATACAGAAGGCAGCATTCAAGTATTGCATAGAACTTGATGTAATGAGATTGCTATGAAGAAAATAAAGAAATAGAAAGATTATGAGCATCAAAACTACACATGCCATGTAGCCCAGATTCACAAGTCTTGCCAAGTGAGGAATAATAGTAACATGCTAGACACAGGCGTCTTGGGTACATGTATTATCTAATGAGACATTGCGATGAATAAGAATATAGCGAGTGAGCCTCAGACCACTACTATTTTTATGAGTGTGTGAGCAAAAACTTTTGGCCATAGAGCAGGATAGGTAGGGTCAAAGAAATAAATATGCAGCTTGAATGAACAAATCATTCTGGACGTAAGTTCGAACCCTCATCACGGCCCTTAATTTATTCAATAAATTCTAATGTTCAGGTACCAATCACAAGGCAAGCACCCTGGTTGACTCTTGTTTTCTTGTTAGGCCCTGCTGAATAAAATGGGAAGCTAATCTTTATTAGCATTCACAAGTGTTTAAAGGCTCATGTAAAAATAATGAGGCTTAAAGTAAAATTGTTCTTATGCAGCTACACGAGGGATTTTTTTTTAGTTATAAATCCCAAGAAAAAATTAAAACAGGTATTCGTACTGTGGATATCTAATTTTAGTACTTACAGTCTTGTTCCCAATATCCTTGTCGATGCCACTTTTAAGCATGGCGTATGTGCCCCAGCCCAGGAGGCCCAGCAAAATCAGTACCAAAACCCAAAAGAACAGCTTGACACATTTGACTGCTAGCTTGCTCCAGAAGCCTTCATCCTGCTCCTCATTCATGAACTCTTGCAACAGCTCCTGAAAAACACACAAAAAATTCAGCTTTCAAAATCATAAATACGATGCATTTACATGAGTGTATTTCAAAAAATATTAAAACAGGAGACAAAAATTGGGCTTCAAAGTACAGTATGTACACAGGCTACCTGTCCCCTACAAAATAAATTAAAATTAATTACTGTACCAACTTACCTTAAGCTCATTGTAAATACTCCTGTGTTTGATATTCGCTGCTTTCTTTTCTGTGATGCTAAAGTCCCAAGCCGAAAAGACCTTCCTTTCAAATGCGGTTGACATGTCATGTTCGACGTCAATGTAATTATTCTTGTACAAAACAATCACCCTATGGAGAAATTATTAAATCAATATAACCAAAAATAGTTCTACATTGACTAAATATGAAATGAACCTTTCTGATTAATTTAATTCAGTGGCTTTCAAAGTTAAAATCTGCTGTATACTCTGAACAAGCAGGAACAACATTCTTGGCACCAGTACCAGAATTCTGGGAGTACTGTACTAGGATTCTGGGAAGGTAGTGGGCTGTTAGGTAGTGACCTTGTCTAGCAGTCACGTACGATGGCAAGGATGAACTCTTATGAATTCGTTTTGTGGAATGTTCCTCTGTCGGTCATTCTTGGCTGGAATGAGCTCATCTCCAGTGACCCTCATAAGCACTTTTAATGACCCTGCTAGGACTGGAAAGTTCCCTTTGGCACTGGTGCCAAAAAATGTCACATGCATGATTGTCATTATCTATGTTCAGAACACTAGGAGTTAACCAAATGGAATAGTTCTGAATTTTTTTTCTTAAATAAATGCAATGGTATCTAATAATCACTCATTTGCCCACTACAAAAAAGTATGCTTGCAAAGCTTAATTTCTGGACAATAAAAATATTAAGACTTTAAACATGATGTTTAAAAACTTTGAAATTTATGGAAAATGTTTCCTCAAGATTTACTAGTCAATTAAATATGCAAGAATATTGAATAAAAATGCTTTAAAGTATTTGAGCAATCTTATACTGTATTTATGTTTTTAAATCACAAAAGTATAACTGCACACTGTATCTAAAAAATGTCAGACACGTGGAAAAATATTTGTTTTCAATGGAAATGAACAGAATTACGACCCTAACATTCTGTTAATAGATTCTCACTTGATTACTGGCCATTATCCAAAATGTTCACCAATGATTCATTAATCCCTGCAGAATCAACTGAAAAAATCATGGCTCACCTGAATGTGAATCACTACTGATATATATTATGTGGTGAAAGCCAGACAATGTGCACCAAGCAAACATAAGAACCACTATTGGGCAATACTGTATGATGGATATTTTTCTCGCTTGCATGTAAGAATTCAATACTAGCCGAGGAGAAAATTAAAAGTAATATTAAAGCATCTGACTAACCTATGAAGGATTACAACTAGGAAGATCACGTAGGCCAGAGAAATAACGGAGAAGTAAACTTGAGGCATATTGAAATTCTGGCCCTTGATAAGGGAAAAACTCTGTGCCAGGTATGTGCCGTAGTACAACTCTGTGGTGTCAAACCAGCCCTGAAATGAACAGCAAAAGGAAATTATGAGAAGCATTAAGCCAGGCTAACTATATAGCACATGGAAGGGATATGAGGATGGAGTGAAGGAGCAATGCCCAACCACTTGGACCATCAGGAACCGAATGCCGACCAGTCCAAGTAGCTGGAACACACACAGCAAAATTTAAGTAGTGACGAACATGTGAACAACAGACACAGTTCTAATTCTGATCATGTATCACATTTTTTTTTATATCAATACAGTACAACAGCTTGTGAGTGTGATTTCCAGAGGCAAGAGAAGCTAAATCAATCTGGCTCTTTGACCATAGACTTATTATTTCTTCACATGTGACAACTACTAACATACTCAAGGGTGCAGATACACTCATGTGGTTTCTAAATCTTATTAAAAACAAAAACAAGTGAACGGTTTGTTTGCAATTATTGTTGAATGATGGCATGGGAAGGTGTAGTAAAATTTCATGTTTACATATATTACTGTGCAGCTGAAAATTCTGAGCAAGTCTACAGGAATAAATGACTTATGAATGAACAAGTGAGGTAGATAAGAGAAATTGGCTAATATAACAATAATGGACAGATTTTAATCAGAGAACTATACTTCTAGCAGCTATTACACGAAAAGCCACTAAATGCAAATTTATCTTGAATGAGTGAGAGGAGAGAGAGAGAGTGGTTATGATAGCCAATGAGGCCAACAGGCATACAATGGTATAGAGCCAAGGATAACAACACTAGGATACAGCATGTACTTGTAAAATAAAGCTTTAGACAGAAACTTTTGGAGAAGCTGCATGGGTGTGGCAGCAGTAACTTTGAAAAGTGAGGTTTAAGAGAGATTTTCTGAAAATGTAAAAAAGAAGCAGTGAAAAGATGAAAACTTTTAGTAAAGTTGGAAGAAAGATTATTGATGAATAAATGAGATTACAGGTGGTTGAGTGAAAAAGTTAACAAGAAGAGTAACCAAATACTGCCTTGAGCAACGATAAAAGTGAACTAAACTAATTAATATACCAAAATTTTATCCGAGGGCCATCATCTCTAGTGGCCTTAATGGGAAAAGAAAGCAGGTGGTTTGTTAAAAGCACCCCCCCACCCTCCACCATTATTCCTAAAGATGCAGGCGATGAGTCACAATAACATGGCTAAAGTATGTTGACCAGACCACACACTAGAAAGTGAAGGGACGACGACGTTTCGGTCCGTCCTGGCCCATTCTCAAGTCACAATCAACTTGAGAATGGTCCAGGACGGATCGAAACGTCGTCGTCCCTTCACCTTCTAGTGTGTGGTCTGGTCAACATTCCTAAAGATTTTTTCCAGTTTAATTTTGAACTCAAGTATAATTTTGGTACAGTACATATGGCTTCAATAAGCTGGCAATTCAATGGGTATATAACCCTATAGGTGAAAAAGCATCTTCTATTGAATGTCCTATATTGTGATTTAAAGCTGTTGCCCTTGAATTACAGGGCCAACAGCCAAAAGCATTTAGGGGTCACAACCCACAGAGGCAGCCAAATAACCTGATAGGTAGTACCTTGGGTAAGCCCTGAACCACCAACCAAACCAGCAACTTCCTGGCAAGACTTCTCACAAGTGTAGAGGGCCAAGGACACTACAAAAAGCAGATCACAAGCAGTTGTTCTGGAGTGACCAATCCCACAAGCAAGTCACACAACCAAGACTGCAATGCATTGTTAATTCAAGTTACACACCCCATGTGGGAAAAGAAACCTTGGCACTAATAAGAGTAATGCTAGAGACAACAAAGGTGGCCACTGGGATCAATTACCTGCACACTTATGGTGCACACAGGAAAACTGCACACACACCATAAACAGGCTTCATACACAGCTGCAAGTTTTCATGGCAAGAACTTTTGGGGGTCATTCCAAATTGGACCCAGTTTATCTTAAGTTACTTCTTGGCACCTTTAATAACCCAACAGGAACTGCTTGAAAAGTACAGAGCAGATCATACCTTAGGATGGCAACTGAATGCATTACCTCAGAAAATGAGGTCTAAGAGAATAACAGGTGAAAAATAGATAGATTTTCAAAATAAATTATATGTGCTCTAGGAATCATCATAAATAAGAGGCCTTAACATTCTGGCAATCTGACCGCTCTGTGCGTTCCAAACTGTACACGTTCTGGGATCCTAGGCTGCTCAGCAGTGCGAATAATGCTTATAATCATTTTACGTTTTCTTAATTATTTGTTGGGTTATAGCTATAAATCTGGTGTCAAAATGTCACTAGTGAATTTCTAGAAATTAGACACAAAAACAACTGCATTTATAATACAGTAGAGTATGTGGAACAGCAATGAATATACAAATGTTTATGAATATCAATCAGAGGATGCATTTTAATGTCATCAGAATGTTTAATGACAAGTATGGATAATGCATCTTAGTGTCAGCAGAATACAAACAACGTTAAATGCCTATTGTGCAGGACATCCACATGAACTTGCCCCCTGCTGTTATATACTGTACATCAGTGAACCCCAAAATGTAGCACTACTGTCATGAAATTACCATATACAGTACAGTGTTACAAATAATATAATGCACAGGTCAAGAAAATTACCCACAGCCTACAGTAATTACAATCTCTTTAGATTATATAATCAAGAACAAAATGTATGACAAATGAAAAGCAAAATATGCAAAGGGAGCAAAAAACAGGCAAAGGTGACTAAAACAAGCAACGACACCAAAACAGGCAAAGGGGGCCAAAGCAAGCAAAGAGGGCCAAAACAAGCAAAGAGGGCCGAAGCAAACAAAGGGGAGCCAAAACAAGCAAAGGGGGCTAAACAGACAAAAGGGAAGGCCCCCCAAAAAACTTGGTCGGATACCAAGCAGCCGAGTGTACAACCATTTGGCACCAATCAGTACACAATCACCGGCACTAAAAATTGAATTGCATTGCATGACCCACGACTGTTTCTTGGATCATCATGTGGTGTGAGCCAACATTTAAGCTAAAACTTACACATCTATAGAAGCAAGATAATAAGAACTTCCCTATCAAGAAGAGATAGCTACTGTAAAATTATTCTAATTTTTTAAAAGAACTATCAAGGATTTGTATGTGGCTTTGTAAAATATACAATTCCTGTACCTAATAAGTGACCACTGTAATATGACTTTTTTTATATTAAAAAATAAAATGTAAATATGTAAATACTGTATTGTTAAACATTTGACAGTTCATAGGATTGCACCTCCCTTACGAAGCCCATGCACAGTCTTCTGGAGAAATTAAAGAGCCGATCTATAGGCCAGTTTATCAATAGAGTATTTGATATTTTTAATATGTGCAATATCGTGTCATTAGTTTAGTGAAGGTGCACGAGCTCAAACTACAACTGGTGCAGACAAGCAAGTTTCTCTTACCAGTGGTTACCGTCCAGTTCCCTCGGCTGGATGCAAGAAGCAAAATGTCTCATAAGACTTTCATGACACAATATAATAATGATAAAAGCATTAAATTTGAGATTTTATATTAAATGTATATATAATTTATTGAGCTTGAATAAAGCTCTTTCCTGATCAAGCTTTCCTACCGCTTCCAGATACATGTGATCTGGCTGCTCACAGAATCACCGGAGAGCCATACCTTACATCATCAATGCCAGAGTGATTACAATGCACAAAACCTGTAAGAAATGGGAAATATATTTTGGAAAGATTTTTCTTGGGCGTTTTGGATTTTTTCTACACCTTCATGGCAGAAACATGTGAAGGGACATGACATTCTGGTCAAGAAGTGTACCATAAACATGTGATCAGATCTTCAGAACCCACGGCAACTAATATGCAGTACGAGTAAGACATAACTAACAAGAATGCCTAAAAATAGTTAGCTTCCCCATAACAAGAGCTCCCTTGTGTAGACCTACAACTGGCTCAAATTTAACAAGACAGAAAATCCTTTAAGAAAACTTGACTTTGATACAAGAAGAGAAAGTCCTAAGGTTCATAAACTATTTATTAAACAGAACTTTTAAAAGCTGCCAAATACAGTATCTACAATCAAAATTCAGGAACTAGGTACAATAGACTAATGCCGGAATGGGTTATCATCATCCTTGCCTTGACCTTAGAATAAGGTCAAATTCTAATAGTAGTAATTAATGGTTGTGGGAGATAAACAAGCTCTACTGGAGGCAGTTCTGATAGCATAGTACAGTAGGGAGGGACAGGACTATCAGATAGATAGATCTGATAGTCTCAAATGCCCCCGCCCCCCCCCCCTGCATCCAAAACTTGTGTCAACCAGGCTGATTACATAAATTTAAAATTACTATTGTTTACTTGTTTAGATGAATTTCCAAAGTTTGAAGGACTCCACAATGAGGATATAAACACAGAATAACACCCAGAACCCTGACGAGAGAAAGCTAAAAGACTGTGCTAGTCATGCATCATGTTTAATACAGCAGGTAACACTTAAGAGCTCTGCATCCAGGCCAATTGCATAACTTATTTCCCAATGATATGTAAAACAACCATGGAAACACAAGATGGAAAAGACTTGGTGAAGAGACCCCACCAAAAAACAATACCGAGACATAGGTCTCTAATAAGAGAAGGACAAAAGACCATTATTAGATACCCCAGCCTTAAACAGAACTTATATCACCATAACCACACTGAATTGGGCAGTGGAAGGCCAACAGTAGAAACACCTCAGTAAGGAGTCCCAAGAGCTTGAGTTTATTGCAAGTGAATTCATCTCTGAAGGACAAAACAGGAACCACACCACCCAAAAATTAGAGCACTTCACTTACCGGTACCTCTATTGACAGCTGAAGGTTCAGCATGACAAAGCCTCCAAACTGCTCCAAAGCACTTAGTTAATATACAAGCCAAAAGCTTGATTAAACACAGGTATCTGCCAGCCTACTGACATCAGAAGTCAGAATATATATGGAGTTGATACAGATGGTCATGATCTATGTAATGTTGATGCTGCTACCTGGTAGTGGTGACCGAGTTGAAGTAAGCATGTGTTTTTGACTGGCTATCTGATGAGCAAGGCTTACCACTGGCTGTCACAGTTTGTGATTTTTTTTAGGCTCTGAAAAGTTTGTTCTTCTGAACAGGCTTTTCAGATCAAGTTAATTCTGGCTGCAAAAATTGTCACCTTTGACTACAAAGTTCCTAAAAAGTACACAATATGAGCATTATAGACCCAGTGACATCAGTACCATCTATCTAAATTTTCATAAAAAAAAAAAAATCACATACCATTGGGAGTGACAAAATGCAAGCTCAAATATAATCTTGATTTGTTAAGAGCCATAGTTGGGGTAGCTATACAGGTGTAGGAGACAGAAAGCAAATGTAAACAAATGAGTATGTTGTGTGCATGAACTTCAAAAGAATAATTCATCTCTGTAAATAAATAAAATAATTTATAATAAATAATTTTAAATAATTTATAATAAAATAAATAATTTAGGTGCTGGGATGCATCGGTTGCAAAAATAATTATTTAGAAAATGAGAGAGAGCAAGTAAAAGAATGCTAAATCAGCCATGACAAAAAAGCAGCCATTCAGTTTAGAGAGGCTGAGCAGGAGATACAGTACATACATGCATGAACAGATACAAGTAGCAATGCTGAAAAGTGAAATGAACTAGTAAAAAGTCAAAGAACATCTAATTTTAACCACTAATAAAACAAGATTGATTTAGGTAAATAATAAATTAAATGCCTAAAATTGCTGCAATACAAATGAAACCAGTTAAACATTTTGAAAACATAGTAAAATACTGTATATACATATACATATGCAGTATAATAATTACTGTACTAATAGTATGCTTAAAATATAAAATATAGTACAGCCAAACTAAATTAAAAATAAGTATGAATACTGATAATCCCAATTGTTCATAAGCTGTTAGAATACTGCACAGCAAGGGCCAACGTTATTACTTACAGCCCCGGTCAACCAATCTAAACCACTAAATTCTGTGATGTGGGCATCATCCTCAGCCAAAGGTCTTCCTTTGTCTGTGTTGCTGCTCTGGTTGCTCACTTTCCATGTACCAGGAAAATTTTGACCTGAAAGAGTGTCACTCACTCGCAGAGCTGCTGCCAATATTCCTAGAACCAAGAAGAGCCAAACATACATACATATTATTATTATTATTATTATTATAAGTATATATATATTAACTTTGAAATTAAAAGTCAGATTAAGTTACATCAACTGTGTACAAATACAGTAGTTCTAAATATACAAATTTCTTAAATTGTTATTCAAATTATGCCAGACTACCATACAAAAATGCAGTTAATTTAATCTGAATGTTATATTTAAATGCAATTCATTGATTACATCAAAACATCCAATTAGTGTATCAGTTCATACACTTCCTAAATTTAATGACAAAAGAAGCCAGTCTAACAAGAAAATACAGAAGAATTAGGCCAAAAGGCAAGCTTCTTCCACATTCAATTTTGACAAATTTAGCCATGATAAACAATCAAGTTAAAGTGATGGTATAAAAAATAACCATTACACACAGAATTCACAATAGTATGACGCATCAAATTAACAAATCCACACGGACCGTGATGAGGGTTCAAACCTAGAAAAGGTACGTCTGGGATCCTCGGACATAGGTTCGAACCCTCATCACGGACCTTGTGGATTTGTAACATAGCCATATTGCTCAATTATCATTCTTTCTAGGTTTCCTGCTAGCCATTAATTTGTGTGTACACAATTTCTACAGTATGGTAAGATAAACGATACACACATTGAAAAACATATAAATGATGAAGTATTAAATAATTAAACAATGCCACACCCAGATACAGCTAATCTTCAATTCTAAATTGACCACTTCATTTTCCACACAGTTAAGGGTCTTCACAGCCCCGCACTTCATTGTACCATGTAAAAAATCTATTTCATTAGAAATCACATCAATCTGTCCCAAGGTTATGAAAAATGCAAGCAGCTTATTGGGCCTAATTCACATTGATTTCTTGCACAAAATACTATTTTAAAGCAAACTTGTAATCTTCTTGTTATTTCTACTTTCTCAACTGAAACATGTGCCTAGGTAACTCATGAAATTTCATCAATGAAAAATAATGGAATTATTTTTCTTTTTGCAGTAGCTAATGGAATAAGTATAGAACAACTCTTCTGTAAATATTTTGAAAATACTGTACTGTAGAGAAGAAACCAAAATGCAGGTAGTAATGTACACTGTATTAATTTGATGTGCAACATTCTCCTCTGAATGCAAGACAAAGATAACCAGATAAATACAACAGGGTAAACAAACATCACAAACTGTTACCAACTCCTAAAACATGAGCAACTTTAACTGTTACAGTGCTACATGTAGCATCGCCATCCCCCACCTTTATCAACCATACCTTAACTACAGTATTCATTAATACTGTATTATCCTGAAGGAAAAACTGCAACAATTTAATATTGCAGTTTTTAAAATTCTGCACCTATACAGTTTTTGCACCTATAAATTGATTATTCCAAATAGTAAAGATATTTTGAAATTAAGTTATGAACTAATCATTTTTAATTCTTTTTTTTATTTATATATACAAGAATTCTTACATTCTCGTATGGCCACTAGCACGCATAGCATTTCAGAAAAGTCTTTAATCCTAATATTCTCCGGAATATGACCTCACCAAATTGTTTAACAACCAGGTACCCATTTTATTGTTGGGTATATAGAGGCTACAGTTAAGGACTTGCGCCCAGTAAATCCTTCCCGGCCAAAGCGCTCGCAAAACGACAGGCGAGTGTCTTACCACTAGGGTATTTATACCCAATACCTTTTTAGCATCAGGTACTGTATACCACAAACAATAACATCCGAACTCGAAGAAATATTACCCGGCTTATTGAATGAGCGAGGTAGAGGAGTTGTACCAGTCGTACTGGGTAACTCTGTTGAGCTGTGTGACTGAGAGGTGTCTTCATTGAGACGTGCCAACAGCTGGGGTGTCACCACGAGTCCACATCTGGATAACATACTAAAATTTATTAAAAAGTACAGAGAGCATTCATAAATAAAAACAAATTATCTAACATTACAGTAACTGCAGCATGGTAAAACTATGAACAAATTGTAAATTTGAAATTCAGGATGAGTTGAGCAGGGTACAGTGTATAAACATAAAATATCCTTTGATGAACATGTCCCAAGGGTCAGTTTACAGTTTGCAGCACAGTCTATGTGGTAATAGAATAAAGTAAACACTCAATGCAAAAATACAGTACAGTATACCAGTTTCAAAATTAAATGTAACTTTTTGAGTAATCCCACACAGTTGCCTTCTGAGGTTAAATCCAGTGTCCAGTGAACAAAGATCATAGCAGCCAGACAGGTGATGGTTCACCACCACAGGAACTGAGCTCATCTTCAGCACCACAGGAGTTTTAAGTGAACCCTGCATAGTAATTAAAGGTAATAAGGGCTCACTGGAGATAAACCCAGTCCAACCCAGGATGACCCACACAGCTATATTCCATTAAAACTCAGATCCATATAAAGAGAGTCTCCCTCGCGATCAACAGAACTGAAATGAGATTGCCACATAACTGCCACTGCCTGCCTACCCTGTAGCCTAGTACCCCCAGTCACAAGCAGATGACAGCAATGTCATCACAACAGGGTGTCAAGACAGCTCCTCACATTCTTGCCGAATACACATGCTATGAACATGGAAAAAAAATGAAAAAAAAATGTGGCCAAGACAAAACCTGGGTTACCAAAACAAAGTCAATATTCAGCACATAGTACTGTAGTGTATGCTATGTACACTAGCTATGTACCAAAGTACTGCAAATGAAGTGGAGTGTTGCAAGAACCCAACCACACACACTAAGCATCATTCAATCACAAATAAGAACTTTTACACTGCTTCAAAGTTTATATAAAATGCACTTATTTCATGTACACCAAGGTAGAATGAGCTTATTTTCAGTGAACCCCCTAGCACTTTCAATGATGCTGCAGGGACCACTTGAAAAGATCCTTGCAGTGGTAGTGCCGAGAATGTAACCATCTAAGAGCCATGATCCTTCTTCCCGGGGATACAGAGATCTTACCAAGGGGGGGCAACCAAATGCAATATTGTACTGTACCTCGAGAATACTATTAATGCAATTTTCCTTTAAGAACAAGGATATTCTAAACACAAAGTATTCACTAAATAATTATGAACTTCTTGAACTCTTAAAACAAATGAATATAGAACAGCATAAAATGACACGCACTTACACAAGGAATGCAATTGTGAAGTTGAGGAGAAAGAGGTATCTCAGGAACCTAAAATATGACCCAACTCCAGTCCCAAACGTTCCTTCAATCTCCTTCAGCTCTTTGTGCCACAAACTGTAGTCATGAAATGTGTCCTTCACTGACTGACACAGCTATTGCAACAAAATATAATAAAAAATAATAGGTTATGAAAGAAGCTTAACACTTGACAAAAATCAGATAATTAAATGTAAGCATCCATGCATCTTTAAGGTATGTAAACATGAAATTTCATAAACGTTTATAGTGTTTGTGAGAATTTTCAGTCTTTCACTTGAAAAATGTGTTTGATTATATTAACCCTTAAACAGCTCCAATCATTATCTGTGATTACAGTACTTCCTGTGCTCAAATCACTAAATACAATCTTGTTAAAAAATATTTATAAACTACAGTACTTCTATCAAGCACACCACAATGAAGGACCTTTAATTAGCCAAGCAATTTACCTGTTAAGACACTAATTTTAGCAACTGAAAAGAGTTCACCAACTCTCTAGTACCTACAATGATCCTGCAAGAACTTTAATCAAAAGCTGGGGTGGGTACTGTATATAGGACTATATAGCACTGGGGTGCCAGTGCTATATAGTCCTATTTGTGATCCTATCTACACCAGACCTCATCTTAAGAAGCAGCTAAATATGATAGCTAAGAATAGAAGAAAATAAAAAAAGGTAAGTATCTGGAGATAGGATGGGATGCTTGCATATGCTGAAGGCTCTTAAAAAATAATACTGCATTCCCAGAAAAAATGGACACCAATGTGAGTGAGAAAGGGTTTCTGTTTGGAGTATATGAACTCAAACTAATAAATATGTATGTGAAACCATTTAATTTGATAAATCTTTTACTTTAATTCATGTAGCCACTATGAACTTCCCCCAGGTCTTAATAAAAAAATTAGAGAGTGGACAGAATGAGAAAATCAGGACATACAAAGCAAGTGGTCAACAGTGATCAATAAGTGCCATCATGGCATGGATAACTGGCAATGTATACAGCCAGAAAAATTAAAAGTGACTCAGATATGTTACAAGGAATGACAGAAAGCTAGGAGGAAGGACCAAACTGAAAACTGAGACGTCAGTACACTAACAGTACCTGTACTGTACAATGGGTTATCTTGAAACAGTGACACAAAAAAAAAATTAAAAATGCACAAAATTCTCTGAAAAAATGGCCATGTTGAGCATTATAACATTCTAAAAATGCTGTACTCACCAGCACATTGTACACTTGCACTGGATTTATGCATACGATCAACATAAAACGTACCTTGTACCAGTGCATGCTAATGGTATATTTGAGATATTGCATCCTGCTTATGGTACGTGAGGAGGTGCGATAGGAGGATCGGCGGGCAGTCAACCGTCTTCGTATTTCCTTTCTCACTCTTAAGGGTTTACGCAACTCTCTTAAAGCCTCTCTGTAATTAAGATTTTATTATATGATAAATCTATGTACTACAGCAAGGAATTTATGCTGGTCGTAAGTGATGGTTTACCCATCACAAGTTACGAACATGGAGATTAAGAGTCGAAGGGTACAATCAACAGCGCACATGGATATTAAAATTCATGACAAAATCAGGAGCCATAAGAAGGATAATTCAAACCTATGCTCTGAGAACTCCCATGTAAATACTTGGGTACTCCCAAAATTCATATTAAACCATGTAACATAGCTAATGCTGTGTTACATGATTTTAAGAGTTAATTCACATAACAGAGAACTGTTACATAAAAATGTAATCTGAATATATATAAACAAACTCAATAATACACACACAGAAATTACAGTAATTTGATATATCCATGAGAAAATCTTTGGAGCAGGACAGGAATCGAACCCGCATCCCACTCTAAAGATTTTCTCAAAGTCAATAATGTACCCTCAGGGCCAGAGACCAAATGGGTTCCAGAAAAATCACATGGAAAAAGACACACTGCCGGGACCCTGGTAACCCAAGGGCACCAAGGTAATTTACCCAGGCACAAGAGGACAGGCCCACAAAACAAAACAAGCTGCCTAGGTAAAAGGTACAGTGCACCTGGACACTAGCCAGGGAACCCTGGTAGGCCCACTAAGCACGAATGATGGAAAGACGTTTCAATATATATATATACAGTACATATACTCTGATTCCTCTTACATTTGCCATAACATCAAATTAAAGCCTCACCTCCTCATTATTTCCCCGTCCACATTATCCGACATAAGCTTCTCGTCTCCCTCCATGGCATCAGCAAGCTCATCTACAATTTCATCCTCCGTGTTGGGGCTGACACCTCTCCTTCGCCGATCCATTAAAGTATTGAACCAGGCCGATTGTCGGTGATCAGAGCCATAATGAAGAGTGTGGCTACCTAGAAGTTCTCCTATATAAAACAGGCACATTTAAATTTAGACACTAAATTACTCAAGAATAGGGTAAGGTACAGTGAATTAATATATGCATTACAGAAAATCTTGACTTCATATTTCATTCATATAACAGCAGACAGAAATGAGCATACAGTAATTAATATGGATAAGTTGTTCTTAAATACTCCCATCAACATGAAGAAATTTTTACACAAGTATCTGCTGGCTACATATCACATACCTGATCTTTCAATCTCAACTTCGTCATCGGCAAACCTAATTCTTCGCCGTTTTTCTGGCTCATAGTACATCATTTCAATACTTTCCACTGAGGTATGTGCCATGCTAGCTATTCCTCCCTACACACATATATTCTTAAATGTTCAAATACTATTTCATAAGTGGTGAGAATAAAAAGGAACACACACATATACTTGATGTGGAAACTGAGTTACAGTACAGTATTTGTCAAACAAAAAAGTTGTGATGTAATAAATGTAATTTCCTCTGAAAAGACTTGAAACTGATCAAAAACATTTATGTTTCTTTCAGGATCTTAGAACATTGGTAAAATATCTCCAAGAATATGTGTTGAAGGTTATCTAAATGCAGTACTAGTAGCTAGTCTGTCAAGACAAAGTTTGCACTTCTCACTTTTTTGAAGATCGATGGACCATAAGCAGATTTAATGATGTGGTTCATAGCATCATTGATGTCACTTATGTACATATAGTATATTGCAAAATGAGTTATCCCACAAATGGATGCGTTTTGCATTCTACTCACAATGTGTTTTCCTGACTGAATCTATCACATTTAGTATGACACTACTTGGCTGTCTGTTAACCACTGTTCATCCACTCTGATGCAGTATTTAACCAGTAATTCTGTGTGCTTTTAGATTCTGTTCGAGTCTTTTGTGTGGTACATTATGAAAAGCCTAAGTGAAGTCGATGTACACAACATTTACCTAAATTTACCCAAGAGCCACTAACACTCTGGTGGCCTTGACGAGGACAAAAAACCAGTGGCTTGTCAAAAGTTCCTCCCCCCATTTGTCCTGGTGATTTTTTCAAGCTGGATTCAATAAGAATGGTTGAAATGAAGGATAATGATGGTAACATGAATAAAACAATGGAAGGTATGGCAAAAGAACGCAAAAAATATGGGAAACAATTATACTGTATGTAAATTAAAAAGATTTTTTTACAATTGTACGACAGCCAGTAAAAATAATTTTCCTACATGATTTCCTAATCAGGACTTTATATAATTTTGTTGCCTCCTAATTTCAACTAAACCAGAAGCAAGACACCAGAGACAGCCTACACAAACCTCTTTCAACAATAAATAAAACTGGATGACTAACAAGTAAACAAACTCAGAGTATGTTCTGTATATATACACAGTATATCACATACTTGCATGAAAAGACAAGTTATATTTAACAAAAAAAAAAACTTTCTCTGTGAGAGAATTGAACTCTATATATATATATATATATATAGTTCAATTATATATAGAGTATATATATACAGTATATATACTACTGTATATATGTACAGTGCACACACTTCAGGGTTAAAATGCACTAAAGTCTAGACTATCTTTGCGAAGATTAGAGAAAACTTTACATTAATCAACTAGGCCTTACAACCAACACAGAGTTGCAACAGACACTTTTCCTAAACACAATAATATTGAGAGCCAACGTGCACACACCCAGATACGCGTACAAATGGCTTCCTGCCTGTCATTTCCTGTGCTCAAACCCTCTAGATAATCCGACAGCAAATTATCAAGCAACAACTCCACACAAGAACCCAAAATAGCAGTACTGTGACCAATTAATTTCAATCAAATTTTGTTATATATATATATAGAGTACACTAGCTATTGATAAGTGAGCTTCCTTATTAGAATGCTATAACACAAAGCATCAAGCCATCATACTGCCACTAAATAGAATGCTCATTAAAAATTTGGCAACAAATTCTGCAGATACAAATTGATTTACAAATTGTACAAAAAATTAACATCTAAATATTATTGTATTGTTTTAGATTCAACTTAATAAACATAACTGGCAAAACTTCAATTCAATGTTGGATGACAGTGAGTTCATGTGTACATTATTGCCATATCTTAAATATGGCAATAAGTGATAAATATGAGTTTACTTCATATTTACCATTCATTCTATATACTGAATGCCCTCAACACGTAAATCCATTTTGAATTCCTGAATGCAAAATTAACAAAAATATGCAACACCAAGTGTTATCTTAATTTACAATTTACCCTGAAATAACCATATACTGTATACAGCAACTACTGAATAAATTTTCTTTGTTGTGCACCAGAAAATCTGTTCACTGGTCAAGACCCCTTTAATGGAATTTTCTGTGTACAGGCTTTGATAGGCATGTTAAGTGGAGTTAATTAATGGATCACTGAATGCAAATGTATCCAACTGCTAATATTATAAGTTCAATTACATTAAATAAAAATAATATCTTGAGCTTTAATTTAGAATAAGCATTACCTTCTATGCTAAAGGAGCTCACAACACTTCCCCCATACCTTCATGCTGGGATGGGAGCATGTAGTGCACCCTCCGTTCTCGTCCACTGTACGAGTGGTATTTTGTAGAGTCACGGCTCTGCCGCTGCCTAAGGTGAACGTCAGTGCGAGCTCGACGTAGGTTAACACGGCTGTGGTCGTCATCACTGGAGCTTGTTTGATCACCATTGACTGAAAATATTCAGCACCATGTAATTTCCAAACAAATTATTGCCTAGAATCAGGCATGGTCCTAATATGCTGTACTCAAGGTTATATTCTACCATAATAGAAATATGCCTCATGCAAATAGAAAGCCACTTTAAAATTTATGTTACTTCACTAATCCACAGAAATTTAAACTAAACAAATGTACAGTACTTACTTGGATTCAGTGGGATATTTTCCACTTCTACAGTTTCAGTTTGAGAAGCCATTCTGGATATTGCTCATACAACCAGTAACATGAACTGCTCTTGAAAACGTAGAGTTCCTATAGCATCTATATCACAATATAAAGCACTTTGCAATGAATCCCTTGACATACATGAGCAAGTGTAGCCCAAGTCAGCCAAGTCAACAGTTATCATTTATTAGCACCAGCAAGCAGCAACCTCTGGAGAGTGGAAAACATAAATACTGTAATCAAGTAAAAAAAAAAATAATACTCTTATCCCTGTCTAAAATATCAAGAGTTTATTACACATTTGTGATAAGGTTAATCGTGCCAACACACTTGTCTTATCTCGGTATTCTGTGTATCATAAGTCACTTTGGTTAGAGTGGCAGGCCATATGCTGTATTGATAATGATAATATATATTTAGAAAAGAGTACATTCATAAAAGCAATACATGACCAATTGGTTTATTCAAGAAACATAAGTACATTACAGTGCCTAAAGCCACTAATATGCAGAGCCTTTTTGGGCATAACTAAAATTAAGAAAAAAATACAGTATACTCTACAAGCTTAATGAGGCAATTCTTAAAACTACATGAAATAAAATAACAATCATTGTTATTAAAAATGTAAAATGATTGACAATATTATATTTGGAAGCTGTAAATTTTACAAGTACAATGCCTAAAGGTACTAAAATGCTGAGCGTTTCGAGCATAACACGAACAAAAAATTGAGAAAAATATAGAAGCTCAAAGATTTACATTACTGGGATCAATGTAAGGGTATACAAGAACTTGTCCTAAATTACTCCTGGGAAAGTGCTGTACCTTGTGGATTCCTAACAATAAGGCTGTTGCCTTATTGTGTGAGTTACACTGAATCTTTCGAGAAGTGATCTAGATTTAATATCTTTCAATTTGTTCAGTATTTTATGGGTCTAGATGAGGTAAGACCTGTCTTGTCCAATTTGTAAGTGTTCTAAGTCGTAAGGCCATCAACTTTTCATTGTATTTCCAGTTTAAAAACTAAATTATATAGTTAGATATGCTTTAAAATAGTGGTCTCGTACGAGATAGTATCTCGTACGAGAAGGTAAGCTTAGATCTGCCACACTAAATAAACACAACACAATACTAGCCATGAACATAATATTAATACGGCACCGTAACTAATACTAGAGCAGCACGGTATAACCACCACTCACCACACCAAGATAACATACCACACCAGGATAACATACTACACCAGGATAACATACCACACCAGGATAACATACCACACCAGGATAACATACTACACCAGGATAACATACTACACCACAACATACTCAGCCCAGACACCCGCACAAACAGCTGACGCGCTACTCAGCTGATGCTACAGTCAGCTGACGCCCTCGCCACACCAGACAGCTGATGCTTGCGTTCCCCTGCTTGCAATCACCTGAATTTACCTGAGGGCTACTATCTCTCTAGTGGCCACGACGAGGACAGGAACCTGGCGGCTTGTCGAAGGTACTTTTCATTTATGCTCGTGATTTTATAGAAACAAATTAGGCAGTGTTTTGGCATTAACAGCATCGGCAGGTAGGCAGTTCCATGGTTTATAACTATGTGGGTGAAAAAGCATCTCCTGTTTTCTGTCCTAAATTGAGTCTTGTTAAACTTGAAATCTTTGCTCCTTGATCGTGTTACATCTGACCTCTTAAAGAAGTGGTCTTGGTCAATATCCTCCAAATTATTCAGTATTTTGAAAGTTTATAATAATAATAATAATAATAATTTTTATTTAGGCAAAGGTACATACATAAAGAGATTTTACAAAGTTTGTTGGCTTTATAGATAGAGCTAGTACATACAATGCCTAAAGCCACTATTACGCAAAGCGTTTCGGGCAGGAAAAAACACTACTGACTAAAGCTTAAAACTAATGGGTAAAAAGAAAAAAATGCGTTGAATACAAATAAAAATAGAGGTAAAAGAGGGGGGAACATTGTTGAAAAAACAGCACAAATACGATTACAAATTATTACAGAAAATTACATTAAAACAGCGTTGATTTGTAAAACAAAAAAAACAAAAAAAAAAAAACATACATGGGTTGACAATAGAGGTAAGGTAGGTTACAGGGAATTTATTAGGTATAGCTTCGTTTTTAACTTAAACTGGTTGAGAGAGGTACAGTCTTTAACATGGTTGGGAAGGTCATTCCACATCCTGGGCCCCTTGATTTGTAGAGCATTTCTGGTTTGATTAAGTCGTACTCTAGGAATATCAAAACTGTATTTATTTCTGGTGTGGTGCTCATGGGTTCTGTTACAACCTTCTATGAAGCTTTTGAGATCAGGATTGGCATTACAATTTAGCGTTTTGTATATGTATAGTACACATGAGAGAATGTGCAGTGACTTAATGTCTAACATATTCAGGGATTTGAATAGGGGTACCGAGTGATGTCTGGGGCCAGAATTGGATATTGTCCTAATAGCAGCTTTGTGTTGAGTAATTAGAGGACGTAAGTGATTTGGGTAGTAGAGCCCCAAGCACAAATACCATAGTTGAGATATGGATAGATAAGGGAGTAATAGAGAGACACCAGGGCAGGGCGTGGTACATAATATCTGATCTTAGAAAGAATGCCCACAGTTTTTGAAACTTTTTTGATATGTTTAGAATGTGTCCCTGGAAATTCAGCTTGTGGTCAATGAGAATGCCAAGGAATTTGCCATCTAATTTGTTACAAATTTGGGTATTGTTTATGACTGGTCAAGTCGTATACTGCAATTTCGGATACCGGGCTAGAAACAACTTCGTTCACTGAGAAGTTTGTACATACAAACCATTCCGTTCGTATATGCGCTGGTTTGTATTCGCTGTTGTTATCATCGGAATAAATACATGGCATTTGTTCATATAATTAGCGCTTCCATTATTAGAATTATTGATCCATTATTAGAATAACAAGGTGCAAACCATACCCCCTTACAGTTGAAATCTATTTATATACAAGAAGGTACATTGGGTTGCGAGAGTACATAACATATATTAAGAGGTACATTGTAGCAAGATTTGAGATTAAAGGATTTAAGACTAACACGTTTAGAAACAAGGCGCCCCCGAAGGAGGCTATTATTTGTTATGCACCCCATACTCAACCAGTAAGTAGTGGAGCAAAACATAGATTACATAGTCATAAAGTCTTAATCAGACCAATTCAATTCTATTTCTTTCTTTATTATGCACCCCATACCTATCCCGTGGGCGGTGGTGTAAAGGATTACAGAGGCACATAATCGGTTCAGGAACTGAACCCTCTAGTTCGTTTAGCTAAGCAAATAACAATTTGTGACGCTAGTTATAAAATTATTAATATTATATATATACATGTACACACTCTCATACATACATGTACATATATATATATATATATACGTATACATATATACATGCACATACATATCTAATCACCTACACAAATACACACATCAATAATCTTTGTGTCACAAGTGATCAATAAGAGGCTCACAACAGTCA